TTGTTATGGAAACAGAGCTAGGTGTGGCCGGTTTTATAAATCCTGATTACCAAGGTACGCACTAAGCCCAATTAGTAAGATGAAGGTACAAAACTAATAAAGACCAGTGTAGATACTTTGGTGAAGAACCTAATGTGATATTAGTACATCTAAGAAATGCAGCTATTGATTGACCGCTTTTGAATATCGCTTTTGAATATTTTATAGAAAAGGCGCAATACAAATAATAAATGTTATTGTAAATAATAATAAATGACCTCCTTCTTCATCGCTAACTTGATGTTTAAGTGCTTGAATGCTAATATAATTCAAAAATAGCGACCCCATTTACCTGAAAAAGAAATGGGTGTGAAAAAGCGAAATAATTGTTTGAGACTATCTCTGTTTAGCTTGATGTCGGGTTGCCTTTCAAAATACACTAAATAGCTAAATCAATTGATTCTTAAACGAGGCGCTTCATGTTCATTGGGGCAGAGAAAGCCTCACTCAAGAGGCCAATTTTCCATGTCAATCTTTCACTGGCTACTTAGTTTTGTTTGTCTAAAGTAAATATTTTTTTTATCCCGCAATTAGTTATATTTTCCATATTTTTTGTCTCTTTTTTATTAGTTATATGTTGTACTAGCGGGCTCTGTTATTTTGGCTGAAGTTGAGATGGATTAAGTTTCATCCGTAACGTTTTTACATCTAAAAAAAGTTGTGACGCTCTTGAAAATTATTCTCGGCCTGTTTGTTTTACATACAATTAATATCATGGAATATAACATTCCCAAAACTACAATGTTTACGGTCTGAAATGCAAAATTTTCTTAAATAAGAGAAGGTTTGAAGTGGCCAAAAGAGTCAAAGTTTTCGTGTTTGTCACTACCACAGTGAAATTATTGAGGATTAGAGCTGACACTTTGATGTTAAAAATGTTTCCCTTGTAATTGAAGCGGAGATTTTTCTTCCTAATTTTACTCTGTTACATCTATATTCCAATAAAACGACTTCAGCTTTACACTTCTAAGCACTTCTACATCACTGGCGGTTGTTGTAACTCTGTGAATATGTTTAGCTTTATGTCGGCTCTATTTCACTCTC